CTAGGAGTCAGAAAGGATGAAAGTGTATGCAACTCTAAAAGCTGCCACACAGTACTGGGTAGACAGACTCCACAGACTTACCTCAAGCTACCAAACAAATGAACAGTGACAGCCCTTAGGGGAAAACAGTCACAATCCGTATTGCTTCAATGTATTAGTTAAAATGTCAAGTAGTCAACAAAATATTATGCAATACCCATAAAAATGTGGCTCATATTTAGGGAAAAAGATATTTAATAGATTCTAACTTTTACTAGAAATTGGATTTAGTAGCCAAATCAATCAAAATATTTACAGTCAGGGAGAAGAATATAGCTTTATTGTAGGATATTACCTTTCTTGTATAAGGCCCTAGGGCCAGTCCAAAGCCCCATCTGGGACACACATTGGACACACACACACATACATATACATACACACCACACATGTATACACACAGAGCACACACCCACATTCCACATTCACACACCCACATACCACACACATATATAACACATTATACACACATACACCACATACATACACACATATCCACACATGCATACACTTCACACACACCACATGTACTTAGCACATACTCCACACACACTTCACATGTATACTCCATGCACATATGCATGCACATACTAATATAAGTAACATTTTAATAACAACACTACAAAATGATAAAGTATAGAGGAAAACATCATTAAAAAACTAAGGAAAGTATAAGATGACAAAATGAGCGGCTGGAGAGATGTCAGAGGCTAAGGGTCCTTGAAGCTCTTGCAGAGTATCTAAGTTTGGTTCCCAGCACACACACCAGCTCATAACTGCCTGTAGCTTCAGCTCTAGGAGCTCTCAAAGCCTCTCCTAACCTCCAATAGCATCTGCACCCACATAGTGTACACAAACTAAGCCACACACACATATGCGTAACAAACAAAACAAATGACACATAGAATAATGAATTTCAGCAAGAGATACAGGCGACTGAGTAAAGAGCAAAAGTTGTATTAATGGATTTGAAAAGAATTATAAAAAATAACCACTTTTTCTTCATGTCTATAGCAAATTTGTAATGGCAAGAAAGAGAAAAAGAATGAATTTTAAGTCAGAGAAATCTGAGCAATGAAGACTAATGTTAAAGGAAGGGCAGTATGAGACCTGTGTGACCATATGAGGCTTGGCAACACACACAGGAAGAGAGGAGAACAGAAATTATTGGAAGACTTAGGCAGCAACTACTTTTAAGAAAAATAATGTCTGAATAATATCCTTATGAAAATATTAATCCAGAGACCTGAGCAGGTCAACAGACTCCAGGTAGGAAAGCTGCAAGGGAACCCACACATGGATCCACTACAGCGATTTGTTAAAGACCAAACACAAGATGAGAATTCTGAAAGCAGTAAGAGAAAAATGGAAACAATATGATTGACAGCTGGCTTCTTACAAAAAAATCCTAGAGGACAGAAGACAGTGAGGTGACATGCTGAAAGAACAGAAAGATTAAAAAAAAACCACCTGCCAAACTAAACTTTTGTGTGCATCAAAACTATCTTTTCAGCTCGAAGATGAAAGAAAGACATTATCAAATAAACATACACCAAATTCACGTACCACTACATTTGACCTTTCCTTTCGTTGGTATGGTCTTTATCCACGACAGCATCAAAGAGTTGTTATTTTATGTTTTGAAGCTTCAGAGGCCAGTTCTATACCACTTCCTCTTTCTCACAGTTTATCAGGAATTTCTGAGCATTTTGGTTTCCAGGTCAATTTTTAGAATTTGTTATATTTCATTAAAAAAATCACCTGAGGATTTAGTTGGATTTTTGCCATTGTACCAGTTGGTATTATATTAGTAAAAAACAAAACTGAGAAGTCTCACTAAGGGAATCCAGCTAAAATGCAAATGATCTTCACTACAAAGGGATTTTTGATTCTGGGGTAGAACCTCAGAGAATGAAGATTACATGGCTAACATGAGGAATGATGGTGTGATTGGAATCAGAATCGCCCCCATAGGCTCATGTATTTGCTTGTGTGTGTCCCAGTTGGTAGACTGTGGAAGAAGGGTTAAGAGGTGAGGCCTTGCTGGAGAAGGTATGTCACTGATGGGTGAACTTTGAGGCTTCAAAAGCACTTGCCAGAGTCTCTCTCTCTCTCTCTCTCTCTCTCTCTCTCTCTCTCTCTCTGTCTCTCTTTCTCCCTTCCTCTCTCTCCCTCTCTCTCTCTCTCTCTGTGTGTGTGTGTCTCTCTCTCTCTTTCTTTCTCTCTCTCTCTCTCTCTCTCTCTCTCTCTCTCTCTCTCTCTCCCTGTCTCTCCTCTCCCACCCTCTCTCCCTCTCTCTTTGCATGCTGCCTGTGGATAAGATATAAACTCTCAGTCACTTCTCCAGTGCCATGCCTGCCTGCTGCCATGCTCCCCACTGTGATGATCATGGAGGACACACCCTCTGAAACCATAAGCCCGCCCCCTCAAAATGATTCCTTCTATAAGTTTCTTCTATAAGTTATGGTGCCTCCACAACAATAGAACAGTAACTAAGACAGGTGGCAATGTGACTGTTCTTATAGTTTGTATATCTGCTTTCTGGGTCTCCCAGAGTGACGGAAATCTCACTCTCTGGGATCCAGATCACTAGGCCAGTTGTAGATCCTTGAGAAGGAAAATTTTTAGCATTTCAACTTCGGCCCATGTCTCCTCCGATGTAGTCATCTGTGATCAGGTGACAGAGTTTGATAGTATTGGTGTTGCCCCTGGACCCACTTGTTAGAGACAATCTCACTTTATTTACTTATTTATTTTTTACTATAACTGAAGACAATGCCATCTGCTGTTTTTTTCTGGACTCTAAGCTCTCCGGGTGACATTGCTTTCTTCTTCCTCATGGGCGTTGTGGGTGATGTCAAACTTCCGCAGCTTTATTCCCATCCTTTCCCTGTGCTTTCAGCTTTTCTTCTCTGCCTACATTTTGAGGGCCGATGTCAGAACTCACTGCTTGATTTTGTGGTTGTGTCTAACTTATTGTTCAGCCTGTATATTTTATATTGTTGCATTCCAATCACCAAGGTTTATGTTTCCAGTATCCTTTTTAATGAGGGGCATGCAAAACTGTACTGCTTGAGCGTGTCGTGGCCTTTCGTTAAAACCCAGTTACTCCTGCTATTATCACCATCTCTTTGTGTACGAGCCCTATTGTGTACTGAGCTTCGTGTTTGTCTTTTGTGTGTGCCTGACTTTTCATGTGGCTGCTGGGGCCTGAGTTAAAGCTCTCACACTGTGAGGCAGGCACTTAACTGAAGGAGCCATCGCCCCAGCCCCATACTTTCAATTGCTTTTTACAAAATAGGAATTAAATAAAATTCTGGAGCATCTCAGTGGTTCGCACCTCTTTTTGTTATCACGAAATCACAAGATGATGGGGGAGACTAGATCCTACCACTTTGAAAATTGTTTTTGTAGTATATTTAATTTTTTTGCTATAAACAGAGCAAACTAGTTTAACTACTATTAAACTGTTAAAATTTAAGTATATAGACTTGTTTACCTTTCTGAAACATATTTGTTCATTTTATTTTATGTTTATATGTGTTTTACCTGCATGGATGTCTGTTTATCTTGTGTATACATAATGCCTACAGAAGTCAGAAGAGGGCATCAGATCCTTTGGAACTTGAGTTACAGGTGGTTATTAGCTGCCATATAATGCTGGAAATTGAACCTGGGTCTTCTGGAAGAGCAGTTAGTGCTTTTAACAGCTGAATCATCTCTCTAGCCTCTTATATATAGATTTATTATAAAATATTTTATATATGAATGTATTTATAGCGAAAACACACACAGGCTCATACTCACACATTTACATGCATACACACATGTCCATATACCCAAGCACATATACAAACACAAACTCACACAAATGCCTATACACAAAAATACCCATGCACACCCATCACATAACACCATTGCACGTGCAAATGCACAACCCTCACACACAAACACACACATTCACTCACATTTGCATATGCACATCCACACAAAGGCACACACCCATACATTCACCCCCCCACACACAGACAACCACAAAAACACACACGTACATACTGACCCATGCACATACACACAGGTGCTCACAGGCACCCACACTCACATATGAGCGCATGCACATTCACACGCACACTTGCCTGCTACACATCATGTAGGTACACTCACAAATGTGAGCACTAACACACTCTTGAAAATATGTATAGTCAAAAAAAAAACGAAAAAAGAAAATATGTATAGTCATACACTCTGACATATGAAAACACATTCAGACACACACATACACACTTACTTATATAGTTACTCCCCATCTTCACGCCCTCACATTTATACAGAGTCATGCAAACACATTTATGCTATCACCTGCATATAGTCTCATATACACTCACAAAAGATAACTCATACAAAAACCTACTCACATGTGTTCTCATACACATGCACACTTATACATATGTACGCACTCATTTTACACTTATACACAACCACATACTCTCACTCAAAATGACTACATAAATTCACGTACTGACATTTGGGCACCCATAAACATAAACACACACATACTCATACATATGTATAAACAAACACATCTCTATATGCACACAGAAACACTCACATGTGCAATTATATATCCACACACTCACACTCGTATACACACCTAGACATTAACATTCATACTCACAAGTCACACATGTATACATACATGCACACACAGACATTTCTTTATAGTCACAAACTCATACACACATTCATGTACATATAGGCTATATGCACAGTTATACAAGTACATACATACACCCTCCTGTACATGCTCATATTCACAAACTTGTGTAGTATACATACATTCACACACATGCATGCACATGCATATAAAACATGCACACATCCACATTCCAACTCATGTGCATGCACACACTCTCTCACACACAGACATAAAACGCATAAACATCAGCTATCACACACAGATACATATAAACTTATGGACATTCACATACACACCATACTAACACATGTGCACACACAGAAAAATCAACAAAAAATATGATACTTTGAAAAGAGATAAAATTCTTTGGAAACAATGGGTGTTATAATTTAGAAAAGCAGTGTGAGAGAGAAAGACACCATGAGGTAGAGTTCATGTGGAGGGGTTTTTATTAGGAGAAAGGGAACGTAAAAGGAGGGAAGAGAGCAGGGAGAACAGCCTCTGGGTACAGGAACTGCGGAAGAGAAGAGAAGAGAAGAGAAGAGAAGAGAAGAGAAGAGAGAGAGAGAGAGAGAGAGAGAGAGAGCGCACCAGTCAGACAGACAGACAGACAGACAGACAGACAGAGAGAGACAGAGAGGAAGAGAGAGAGATGAGAGGTGGGCAGGGTCCTTTTAAATGGGAGCATAATGAATGCACAGGAGGTGCTCTTAGTGGCTACAGCTGAGGACGTATACCCCAAGGTCAGGCCAGGACAGATGCCTGAATACTAACGAGTAATATGAGAAACTAAAACAGAGAATCCAATTTTGATTGAGGTTATGTAGGTTAGGAAAGACATCCCTATGGAAATTTGATCTAAATTGAGTCCTGTCAGATTAGAAGAGTATCATTAAAAGTATAGTGGGAAGAGACAGATGGAATATTCTGGAAGAAGATCTGGAACCATAAGGAGGTTTCCATAGGCTAAATTGGTCTCTATGCCCCAAATTTACATTTTATGTATCACCCTCATTTGCATTAGTATATGACTTTAACACAGGACATTTTAAGAAATAATGAAGGTCAATGAAGTCATACGAGTGGACACTATTGCACTGTAACTCCACGTAAGGAGCCAAGGGAGCACACACATGCAGAGGGCAGACCATGAGAGGACCCAGAAAATGACCGTCTAGAGGTCAAGGACAGAACCCTAAAACTCTGTTGACAAGATCTCAGACTTCCAACCTCCAGGGCTGGGAAGAAATGAATTTCTAGCTAAGCTCCCTCATCTGCATTCTTTGTCCTGGTAGCTCTAGCCAACGGACTGAGAGGCCACATTCATTATTTAGCTTTCCCTTCTGCCTTCTGGTAGCTTCTTAGCATTTTCCTCATTCCGGTCTCCCTTTTCTCGATTTGCTCCCTAAAGCAACCGTCTTCTTTCATGGTCACAGCCGTTTTCCTGGTTCATAGCTCTCTTGTCTGAGTTGTGGGTTATTTATTTCCTTTGCCAGGTTTATTTTCTCCTAAGAAGTCCATCACACCCATGTTACAGCTCCCATAGTCCTCATTGGGTTCGCCGGCACCAGCCAGCCTGTCTCACAAGAGTCCTTAGCCTGACATTTTCATGTATTTTCCTTCTACAAGCTTCTCTCCCAGACCAGGATTTTTCTATTAACAGAGATTTTGTAAGGTTCATTTCCTGGGAATGATACTGTGGGATCTTCAACAGCCTGTCATGCTCACTTTCCTTTTCAGCTATTCCAGCTTGTTATTCTTGGTCTTTAAGGTACCTTTGGATATAGTTAACGTATGTGTTACGTCTCCGACATTTTACTATTGATTGCAGCATGCAGTTGTTCATTCCTTCATGTATGTAGGAAATTAATGAATTCCAGGACCACCCTGCAGATAGTCAAATCAACAAACGTTAGAATCCCTTACGTGAATTGGTGTATTTGCATACAACCTATGTGCATTCTCTCATTTGCCTAAAACATCTCTAAATCAGTCATGAATTCTAGTAAAATGAAATTGGTATATACAGAGCTGATATACTGCATTGCACAGGGATTAATGAGAAAAAAGTCTGTATGTGCTCACAGACACAAGTGTGGTGGTTTGAATGAAAACGCTCCACCCCCACCCCCAGGCTCATAGGAAGTGGCACTGTATGAAAGGATTTGGATGTGTGGCCTTGTAGGAGGAAGTGTGTCACTAGGGAAGTGTGTCACTAGGGCTTTGAAGTTTCCAAAGCTCAAGCCAGACCTGGTGGCTTACTCTCTTTTCCTGCTGCCTGCCAAGATGTAGAACCCTAAGCTCTTTCTTGAGCCTTGTTGTCTGCCTGTGTGCTGTGTGCTGTCATGCTCCCCTCCATGATGATAACGAACTCAACCGCTGAACTGTAGGTCAACCCCAATGAAATGCTCTCCTTCAAAAAGGTTACCATGGTCACGGTGCCTCTTTATGGCAATAGAACACTGACCAAGACAAATAACAGTAATTCCAGCCTTTAGTTGGTTTAATCCATGAGTATGAAACTTTTAGGTTGGGAGGCCAGCTGTACTGCTAAGTCTCAATCTCTCTCTTTCTCTCTCTCTCTCTCCCCCCTCCCTCCCTCCCTTTCTTTCTCTGGTCTTATGCATGTCAGATTGGCTTCAAGTAGCTGAAGATGATTTTAAACTTTTGGTCCTTTTGCTCGTACCTTCATGGTTTTGAGACACTCAGTTTATGTGGATCAAATCTAGGGCTTCATGCTTGATAGGCAAGTGCTTTACGGAATGAGATACATCTCCTGGTTGTCTATCTCTTCATGCACATATATGTATTTTTACTTTTATCTTTTATTCTTTTCTTTCATCTTCTTTCCTCTATCCTATCCTTCCTCTTTTCATTGGCTTCTTTTCTTTCCTTCTTTCTCTCTCTTCCTTCCTTCCTTCCTTCCTTCCTTCCTTCCTTCCTTCCTTCCTT